AGGTCAGCCTGAGTGACGTAGTTCAGGCCTGCTGGGCCGTGGTAGTGAAACCCTGTGTCAGACAGCAAAACAAGGGGCCAGAGAGGTGGCTTCGAAGTCAAGGGCGCTGGCTGCTCTTGCAGAGGGCCTGGGTTCGATTCCCGGCACCTACATGGCGGCTCACAACCTTCTTTAGTTCCCAGGCACTCAGGCGATACATATTCATAAATGAATGAAACTGATATATATGTGAATACACACACACAAATGAAACTATATATAAAACTCTAATCAGACAAACTCCAGTGTCTTCTGTCACACTCAGAATAAAGATTGAAATCCTCAGGGCCCAGCGGGCCCTGCATGAGAACAACCTGCTGCTTCTCAGCCTCCGTCTGTGCTCCCTTCTCACACTCAGCCCCGGGGCCTTCCTCTTTGGCTCCTATGTGATTCTCAGAACACCTCTCTAAAGTCCAGACTCCTCAGAAACACCTTGGGCCACTGTGTAGTGCTCCCTGTACTTCGGGGTCTTGTCACAATTTGTTACCTTGTGTTTGGCTCAGTTTTATCAATTAAGACAACACATTCCTTGAAAACAGACTGTGTCTATTTTGGCTTTGGGGGTAGCATTGTGCCTGGCACGTAAAATGATTTAATTAATAATTTTGAGGAGTAAGTGTTGGGAGACTTGGTAAAAAGCTTAGAGCTGAAGTACTGTTTAGCCAATTGTGGTGACGCACGCTTTTAATCCCAGCACTAGGGAGGCAGAGACAGGCAGATCTCTGTGAGTTTGAGGCCAACCTGGTCTACGTAGTGAGTTCCAGACCAGCCAGGGCTACAGAGTGAGACCTTGTCTCAAAAAATATTGTTAAATTTTATTTTTGTGCATTTGTTATTGTTTTAAGATTTATTTTTTATTATTTTTATCTGTATGTGGTGTGTGTGGGTGTGTGCGTGTGTGTGTGTGTGTGTGTGTGTGCGCGCGCGCGCGCGCGCGTGTGTGTGTGTGTGTGTGTGTGTGTGTGTGTGTGTGTGTGTGTGTGTGTGTATGAATGGCATGTGTGTACGGGTGCCTAAGGAGGCCAAAAGAGGGTATAAGATCCTTGAAGCTAAAGCTACAGGCAGCTATGAGGCGCTCAGCCATTTCTCCAGTCTCCTGTTTTTGTATTTTTGAGGTAAGGTGTTACTTTCATTGTGGTCTAGGCTGGCCTGGACCTCACTTGTAACCTTGGCAAGCTTTAAATTCACTGCAATCCCACCTTAGCCTTCTCAGCACCAGGATTGTAGGTGTGAGCCACCATGCCTGGCTTGCTTGTAAAGCTTCCCAGTGCAGGATGAAATAGCAGCGATGACTGTGTGACCTTGTTCTGTCTGTAGCTTACAAGTGGTGTGTGATAAGTCGTTCTCCGAACTCTTTGCCTCAACTGGAGGAAGGGTGCTCATGTAGACTAACTTGGTTCAGCTCACCCAGTTATGGTTGGACTAAAGGTACAGCAGAATGTGGCGTGATCATATGTGTTTACCGCTGCATGCATATCTAACACACTGCTCAGGAAGGGATGGAGCTGATGCCTGGTACACTATGGCTGAGTGAGAAGAGGTCAAGCCTCAGCAAAGCCCCACAGCCTCCCAGCCCATGGGGCTGTTCCAGCAGCCAATGGCAGTTAGTGCTGTACTGAGACTTGGACAGTTGTAGGAGGAGAGGCCTATGGGTATTGCCAACACTCTCAAAGGGAACTGGGGAAATAGGCCTGGCTTTGTGCGCAGCTGGTGTCCACCTCAGATTGTCGCCTTTTGAGAACAAGGCACCAGATCTCTCGGTCCCTTGCTTGTAGTGTCTTAGTTTTCTCCATGCCCTTCCCGTCCCCTCTTCCTGTCCCATCTTCTCTCACCTTAAAGGTTTTTCATTTTCAGTGTATTGATTCCGTTCTTCCCTGTGGTGGGTACATAATGAGAAGAGCGAGTCGGAAGTAGCTACAGCCTAAGGGGGGTTGGAGGCAGCTTTGGGGTTGAACACTGGCTTCTTCGCTAACGTTCAGATGAAACACGGCATTGTGGTGGTTTTTTACGGGGGGTGGGCTGGTGGGCCAGCAGTGGGGGCGGGGGGCAGCGCAGCTCCCGGCTCCAGGCTGGAGAAGCCCTGGACCCAGGGCAAGGGGTTCAAAGTGCTGGGGCCCGGTTGGGAGTGGACTGTGCTTTGGGCTTCTCAGCCCCCTCTTTTTCTCA